TTGAATTTACAATTCATTTTATCCGCTTAAGCCGCTTGAGTAATAAACGAAATTGCGTGATAAATAAGAAAGGATTCGAAGCGATTTGGAAGCGAGGGTTGCTTCCGAGATTCTCTTTCTCATTTGATAATTCCCTTTGCATTTCATTACCATTTCGATTATTCGATCGCCATTATGTACAATTGTCTCTCTTCAGCATTCGTCCCTCAACTCTCTTTTAATGGTCGCATTAAAAATGTAACGAGACATGTGTTTTGTCGATTTGTTATAAACTCAATAATGTATTTTGTATGTTATAACATTCCGTGAGTAATTTTTTTATGTATAATTTATTATTTAACAATTTAAGAATTAAATATTGTAATATACATTACAATTGCCAATTTCTAAAATTGTATTTTTACTTTAAGTAGAGATGTTTAGAGCTGCAAAATATTAATTTTATAAAGAATTATTTATTATGTTATATTATATAAAAACACGATATAAGAGTTACATCTTCTTTAGCAAAAACACCTTTAAGATCGTTGATATACGATTTTCTCTGTACAAATATTCATGTATGTGCAGAGAAAGCAAAGAGGATTCCATGAATTTCACATGATAAATTTAGTCTGTCCGGAGGGAGGAATGGGGTTATCAATGTAACACTAAATTCTCAGGTGAACACAGTTATATATTAAACTGATAATAATAAGAATAGTAATAATTAAATTGACAGAGATCCTGTTTCTTATTCTAATTTCGTGAAAGTGATTTTATAGCCATAAATCAATGATGTGTAACGCCTGAATAGCATGCAACCCCCTCGTAATAATTTACCATGCTCGCGCCTGAAGTTAATATACTTAAATTACCCATGAACAAACCGAGATTGCGCAAAACTTTAATATTCAGATATCTTTAGCTAAAAAAAGCATCGAATTTAATTTATTGTAAATATTTCACATAGATAATATTGATAGCAAAAATCGCTTTACATGTAACTATATTGCTTCATATGATATGTGCCAAAGAATAACTATATATTATACTTCTGATTCAATTTATCGGAAACTCCTTATTTTTACGATCGCTAATTACTAATTACTCATAAACTATTTCTGAATATTACCACTGATTAAAAATGGATTCAAAAAGTATGCCGAAAAATCCGATATTAAGAGCAACGATGGAAGATTTCACATCTCTTCTGTTAATATTATTAGTTGTGTCACAAAAAGAGCGTTCATCGATTCATATCGATGTTAAATATAAATCTCGAAAGTAAGGGATAAAAGTGCAACGGCGAAACAGAGGACAATATCGGGGCCTATTTATAAACGCGTGTACACGCATACCTATTAATGTGGGCCATATAGTCGATAGGGGGCAACGGGGGATTTGGTCGTTTCTCGCACGATGGGGTTGGACTAGCTGGCGCCAAGGTTTATCTCTCTACCCCATCGTCTCGGCCTATGCCGTTATAGGGTATAACGTGGTTGCTAGAATAAAGGGGGAGGGTGTGTTGCTTGTTTGTCGCACAAGTACCCCCTCGTCTACTGCAACAGCATTGTGTCACGAAAAACAACTCGCGATAGTTCCGCGACGCAGCTTTCCAAGAGCGACCATTATCCCGATTTAGCGGGTGGTTTTATTTATCTGCCAGGTGTGGCCTTTGTACGCATCCAGGTATTCTTCGTAGAGAAAAGGTAAAATTGTATGACGATAGAAAGCAGAAGAGAGATTGCAGCTTGACGATATAAAATATCACGCTCTCCTCTTGTGCCAGGACAAATTTTGAAAGATTTTGAGATCGAGTTTAGAAGCAAAGGGCCAAGGTAGAAAGCATTGTTAGTATTGACTGACTGTGTTTTGTTCGTATCTTGTAAAAACTCTTCGCAAATTGTAATAAAAAAAATGAAAAAATAATAACAAATACATTATTAATTTATCGGTGTATATTTCTTTTATTATATAATTTATCTGTATTAATTTATCTATATTTATATAAGTGTATATGTTAAGATATATTTCTTTCCAGAAAAATCATCTCGCTGTTTTAGCCGTGTTTTAATCACCTACGAGAGATTATCACTTTATTTTATCATTAACATTTTAAACGCGGCCGCACGCTTTTGTTGCAAAATATCATTAACGCTCCGCGTCCACAATCAGGAGACACCTATAATTATTATCCCCGTCAACTCTTTGATGTCATTTTTTTTCTTTAGATGGGGGAAAAATTGGCGCCGTGTCGCGCGCGGCGAGGGTGGACGGCGGTTTGTTTGTAATTGCAGTCTCTCTGACCGCGACAGAGGGGTGGTGGATCCGGCATGTAAAAGGTAAGTATTAATCAGCGGCGCACGAGATAGATCGACGTGGCGGAATTAATGCATCCATCGCATCGGCGGCGCGCGCTTGCGTCTACGCGAGGGATTTTAGGACGACCAGGAGTGTACGCGCCGGATTACGGGATGTGGATTATGGGCGAACGGGTCGTTAAATAGCCCGTAACCATAGCCGGGGCTTCGACGAATAAAGATCCGTTGCCCGTTACGACGTCGAACCTTATTATCTCCGTTCGTACGCGCGCCTGGGAGAGATTCGCATCAGGCGGACCGCGCCGGTTATTATTGGGGATCCGAGGTATTAAAGGCTCTCCTCGGGGTATCTTCGATCTTCTTATATTCAGCTACCCCCTACGTCATACTTAAATACAATATTTCGGCCGACGCGTAATCCTCTTACGGTAGTATATCCGCGCTCGCACCGCGCGGAAGTCGATGCGGCGGTCGCTTGTTTTGTTCCTTATTATAATCGATTATTTGTACGCCCGGATAATTACATACCGCCGGGGAGAAAATCATGTAAACGAGAGCTCGCGCGATTTATATGTAATATTTCAGTGAGAGAGCATGTAATCCTCTTGCGCCAGTTGAGTGGCTGTCACTCGACTGTGCTAACAATGTATTAATAAATACCTTTGATTTTGTGTCCGTATACAGTGGAAGTTTCATATGAGTATTTTGTACAGAAATAAAAATTCAAATATATTAGTCGTGTATCCGAATAACTTTTTTTTAAACTACAGATTGTTTTTTTATAAATTTATCAAATTTTTTCATATAAATTTTACCAAATGTCAATTTTCTTCTCTATTATTTTTAATAAGTACACACGCGTATTTTGTATAGAAATAGAAATTCAGATATATTATTCGGATATACGAATAACTACAGATTATTTTTTTTTTTATCAATTCATCGATTTTTTTCATAGAAATTTTACCGAATGTCAGTTCTTTTCTCTATTACTTTTTTTAATATAAAATATCTTTTTCATCGAATTAAGATCGTCCATCCGACCGTCTGATTCAATTCTCATTCACGTGTTTTTTTCGCGAAGTAATTAGGGCGAAAATTAAGATCCTAATGAAAAGAGTAAAATTTTTTAAAAGCAATCCGTCATCCGTGAATATACGCGTATAATGATGGCCACGTCATAACGACCACGATATTATTTTATTTTACAACGCTAGTCGCGCCGATACCGGACGATGGTACTTCATTAGCAATTAATTCGACACGACCGATCGATTAACAAAACCAATTTAATCGGCACTCCGAAAGCGCGGATGACCAGTTCTATTAATTGGCGGAATAATCGGATCACAAGGGATTGTCGGATAACGGTCTGCTCGCAACGTATTACTTTCAATGATAAGCTCCGTTACTGTCTGTCAAATCGATATCTTATTACCGTCAAATAACTATTTTTAATCTGAGATATAATCACAATGAGGTATTTAAGTTGAAACTTACCACATTCCAAAGAGTTGAAAGAGAGAAACGTTTAGTCTTTGTTAAGACTAAAATGTATCCTTGTGTCAATTTCTGATTCGTTTTGTATTCTTCAATAAGAAGTGTATCAAACAAGAATAATTTGTAATCAGCCTATGTGTTATATTTATTAAAACAAACAAAACATAAAATGAATATTAATATTAATTATGATTAAAGATCGCGATCTTTATAAATCGGTAGCAATTTCACATATCCTGTTGCGAGTGAGATTACTATCGACTTTAATTAAAGCAAGAAAATAAATTAATTCACAAAGATGAGTTATATTCCGCCGTTAATATTAAACGTCAGACGAATGATCGATTATTCATTTTGCAAGTTTATCATTTATTGATAACGAGGATGATAAAGGCTTCCTCATAGCGGTGATCCGGACTGAAGAAAAACGAATGTATCGCAGTTATTAATTACGCGGATATGGTTATAAATAATTCCCATTGGATCGGTCGATCGTTTTGAATTGCAAGAATGGCCCGTTTTGGTATCATAATACATTATCATAGATTATATTGACCAGAGCCGTCTCTGGATAATATAGCCGCGCCGTTGCCAAGTTTAATTAAAGCAATGATCTAGCTCGAACTATCATCCAGCAAGCAATTCGCGCCAATTGCATCATTGAGCTAACTATAATAAACGCGTTGCTCTATTTAATTGAGGCATGTACTAGTTTCGTACGGTTCTATTGACATCGCTTATTTTACACTGTGCGTCACTAAATTGAAACACAAATCACATCGTGAGCTCTTTAATGAATTAGAAAGAAAATTAATTTTCTTTATTAGAAATGAATTTACATTGACGTAATTAAAAGGCTTCCCGTTTCAAAACTTTCCCTAGAAAAGTTCGATTCTAAATTGCTTAAAGCTTAAAGTATAACAGTTTTCAATTTTAGGAATCTATATATTATTTTTAAAGCCAAACCAATCTGATTTTCATTTCACCTTCGTACTTTCTCTCAATATTCTTTTTTTTTTTTGCAATATTACGTACACGTCACATCCTTCGACATCTTGGAGAATGTAAATCTGATGGGATCGTGATAGTTTGGCGTGACGAGAACTGAAGGGCAACGTCGGAACGAGGTAGATTTACGTGTCCGCGAAATAGTTCACGCAGAAATGACGAGGGGCTGATCGATGCGTAAGAACTTACCGTAGAACCAGCATTGCTTCTCGCCGAAGCGGGGCCTCAGGAACGTATATTGCGGTTGAGCCGGGAGATGGTCCAGAAGGGCCGCCAGGCCGGCGACCAGGAGGGGCCCACCCCAGGCGTAACAGGCATAGATCCTGAGCCTGAGGGTCTCCTGACCTTTCTCCAGGCTAACCGGTCGCAAATCCCTGAAAGCAAAGAAAGGCGAGGTTAGCGAAGAGTGCAGTGATCGCGAGGAGAATATATGGACGTTGTGAGATACATGGTGAAATAAAATATCGAGGTGCGTATCCGTTCCTCTTTTCCGCTTTCCTTTCTTGCAATATTGAAAGAATGACTCAGACCTATCTGTGTGAGAGTGTTTTTTTTCTGTCCAGAACATAATAATAACAATAACAACAACAACAACAATATCCTAAGATTGCTCTTATTATGAGAAAGTAGTGGGTTGTAGATATAAATAAAGCTATATATATGTCGTTGTCAGATTACATAATATAAAGTGCGGCCACATTCTCAAATCATGGTTGAAAATGAAATATTTTAAGAATTTTAGTCTTTTTATAGAACGCTAACAAGCGACCGGTTGTCAAACGTAACAATTTGTACATCGTTTTAGATTCTGACTAATTCATTTCAGTCATTTTATGAACTGTCTTTGTAGAACAGCCATTTATAGAAAATTAATAGATAATTATGTTATGATATTAATAGGTAATTATGTGTATTTCTAAATGAGAAAAAGCTTGTTGTATTTATTATAATTAAGGTTTTATAAAAGTAACATAAATAAAATTCTCGAAAATAATGTTTGAAAACAAACAATAAAAAGAAATATAAACTTGAAAAAATAAAAAAAAATACATTTATTACGACTATTTTATCAAATGTACTATAAAGTAAGGTCGATAAAAACGCGCCGTTCATAAAATGACTGTAATGAACTAGCCAGAATCTAAAACGATGTACAAATCGTTGCGTTTGACAATGTGGCGGATCGCTTGTTAGTGTTTTACAAAAAGACTAAAATTCTTAAGCAGATTATAAAATATTTCATTTTCAACAATGATTTGAAAATGTGGCCACACTTTATAAAATGCCTACTAGACGTTTTATAAAACGACGGACTGTGTAATCTGGCTATGACACATATATTATCACTATCATCGATCAATCATCATAGTTATTAAAATAAAAGATTAATTGCGCGAGAATTCGGCGTTTTCACTCGTAGCAGGCTGAATCGTAAAGCTTTATCATTGTCTGGCTAGTTTAATGTCGCTATAACGACACTCGCGGTAGGGAGATGAACGTTGGGGCTTAGCACGTGAGGGGTTGTTACCCGTAAATCGCACCCTATCGGTATAGCGACGTTACTGTGAACGACGACACAGCAAATGTCGACTATCGTAACCAGCGTGTCGTAAAAAGTGAATGCAAGAGGAAAAAAATGAAGTTTAAAATACGAATCAAAGTCAATTCTGTCGGTTCTTATGAATAAAGAATATTGATTTAAATGTAGATATATTGTTATTAAATTTTTCATCGAAATCATGCTGCAATATTTGACGATTGCATTAATCAGTATAAAATAGACAAAAATATACTAATAATTAAGAGTTGATTCCTGTCACGATTTTCTCTTAAAATTATAATTATTATTATCTTGATATTATAATTAATTATTTATTAAAAACATATATTGAGAAACAAATAAATATAATACACATGACATATATTGGAAATATATTTGAAAGATTTATAAATAATGTATATCCTGCGATATATCTTTAGTTCTTCCCATAGAGATAGAATTTTCTACAGTGGACAAATTTTATAATGTACTCTCTTGTTAGCGCAATTCTTTTAACGTAGGTAAAATTTTATATAATTTGCGATATACGCATAGAAAAAAAAGAAACAGAAGTTACATCAGTGAAAGCTTTGTAACTAAATGACACGAGTTAGCGCAGACAGGCATTCTCATTTAAATATTCTCTTTGTACATCCGGTCTGAATCAAGCCATTATATAAATTTTTACCGAGTTAATCCGGGCACATACACATATACCAGTGCGTATTGAAATCGTTGGAAAGTAAAAGTTGGAACAATTTTTAGATTCGGTCGCGTTTTCATATGTCATATAATTTTGTGGCTCGCAGATAATAAAATACTTGTGTACAACAATCGCGTTACATATTATTATGTCTCTATTTTACGTTTGTTGAATGTATAATTGTTAGCATATAACATTATAAATAATAGAATTTGCAATTACGTGAAAAGAGATATCATGATAGTCTCACATATCGGTATGAATATTAATGGCAATCCGAATATATAATTTATAATTACAGTATGTTATTATGCGACACACACACATGTATATGTAAAGCTATAAAATACACTTAGGTTGAAAATCTACATATTACATCTCTTTTATTATTTCTCTCTTTCTCTCTCTCTCTCTCTCTCTCACTTTCCATTTATAAATTCTTTTACTGATTAATTCAGAATCTTTTTTTGTTCAAGCAAGAAAAATATCTTTGCGTCAATATAGCCTTGGAGTATAAAAGATTATTTTAACAGAGAAATTTAATTTAAGATACAAAAAGATGTTTAAAAAGGTTGAAAGGTAAACAGTGAAAGAGATATTCACAAGTTTTCATAAAAAAATTTCAAGAAAAAATTCATTTTGGCAACCGTGGATGAAAGAACTTATTTGATTAAATTACAGAAAATGTACTTTTCCCGCGCTATATCAACAGTTCGCGTTGATGTTCTATTCTAGGTCGCGATGTTCCGATACGATGAAGATGTCCGATGTACAGGAAATCTATATGAATGCATTGCACCGAGAAGGAGAAGAATGGCGGGTGGATATCTCGGGATACTAATTTCGTAGTGCCTGCACCTCATTTCCGGCGTCGCTAATTAGGCGTCGCCACTGTTGGCATGCGCCGTCCTCTCGTTCTCTTCCTCTCGTCCTTTCGCTTCGGTCGCTGCTCTCCGTAAGAGAGAGAGAGAGAGAGAGAGACAGCCGTCGAGGAAGGGAAATGATAAACGCGCGCGTGGGAGACCGCGACGTCTCGCTTCGACGTCGTCACGGCGGCGCCACGATAATTTCTCAACCTGACCATCGCTTCCTGGTGAAGCCGGAGGCATTCCAACTCGACGCGGGATCGGGGAAAAACGACGTTAAATATCCGTCGTGGTCGAGAAAATTAGCGAACTACTAGGATCCATATGTGGGAGTCGTTCGCACGCGTGGATGCGTTTATCGCTGCGCGACCATGCGTTTATGCGTGTGAGTAAGTTAATAGTTAACCGAGGATATAGGGTCTCCGAGGAGGCAATTATGCGAACGACAAGATGACTCGCGACCGAAGAAGGGGATTTACCTTCTCGCGCAACTTTCTCTTCTGCTCTCGATACACAGATCTCTCGTCGAGCGCGGAGGAGAGATGCGAGTTATTTTAGCGATATAATGAATCCTCTTGAAGTGAAGCCCCATTTAAACGGAAAACGTTGTACTGTCACAGAATATGCGCATCCTGTAATTATATCTCGTGCTTGGCCGGCGAAAGAGTCCCGGGGCACACGCATGTGGAGGTTTGTAAAGCCGAGATAACGAAGTCGGTTATTAAATAGACGTCAGGTAGCCATTGTTAATCTTTTGATCCTTCGTAACAACTATTGCGAAGTCTATGTGAGGGTCTTATTACAATCTTTTTTTTTTTTTACTTCGATATTACTTCCTTCTCGTAATACGCAGAAGCAGACGACAGCTAAGAGATAATAACATTGCTATGTAGATTATTAGCGAAAATATCCTATTACGTGGTTTAAGATTTATTTTAAAATCGTCGATGATTAAGTATTTTATAATATTTAAGAAACAAATATATAAAGCATACTTGAAGTCGTAGAACTAATATCGTAGCCACATAAATCTAGAATAACATTCTAAATCTACATTCGCGCAAATTCCATTTCTCTTCTTTCTTGCGCATTATATACACAGTTACATATAACTCGAAAGTTGCCTTGATCTTTTTCACTCCCTTCTCGCGAGCAGTCCACTTTTAGATAGACAAATCATCGTAAAGACAATACGAAAGCACGAGAGATTGAAACATTTATTAATACATAAAGGCAAATCGCCGACAAGTAGATTAGTTTGTTAGAATCTTCGCGCTGTATAGTTCCTGTGTTCGAAGCTCATATTTTATCCCCTTCTGCTCTATCTTTCCGAGCGCCGTGCGTTTAAACAGCCCAGACGTAATGCCGGCGTACTGTGTCTCTCGTTGGCCGTAGAAGCTAAGAGCTCCATATTTATCTCCCCGATATGGTAATTATACGGACGGCAATTAGCGGCGGTGTCGGCCGTTAGAGATACCCGCCAAACTCGGTAGTGTCTCGTGGAGAATGTATAATATGATGGGAGAGAGAGAGAGAGAGAGAGAGAGGAGATGGACACAAAGATATTATTTATTACGTTGACATTTTGCATTAAAGCGAAAAATAATTTCGCGATAAAGTGATAAGTGCGAAGATACCTGTTAAGGATGTTTTGGCTGTACAATAGTAGCAAAAAACTATCAGAATTAAAAAAAAACATATTTCTTACATTTATACTGTTTGAAAAATCGAATAAATGCAACTGCAAGAAACAAAGAAAAACGAGTAATTTGCAGAAAGAGAGAAAGAGAGATAATATTTCACTACAATTTTTAGTAAATAACTTTTAAACGAGTAAATGGATCTAAATCAAATTTCGCACAAATATTTATTAGAGATTTCTTAATATATGTGAAGATTTTTATTTCGTTGGCAATATTTTTTCTTTATCGAATTTGTCAATAAGTGTACGATACGCGATTTTCCATAAGAATCAATACTAACTTTAAACTTAAATAATTTCCAAATCATTATAAGAATTGTGCTCAGGTTTTGCACGGATACTCAGAAGAAATAATAGAACAATCTACGAAATTTTCATGCTTTTGTCAATGTTTTGACATATGACACATACATCCTTAAAGTGCGAGTTAGCTCGATTAATGAACGATATTCTTGTTGCATAATATTCTCTCTCTCTTTTAAGCCTTTAAAAAAAAATGAATATAAAATATTTTTTATTTATTTCAATGCGCTCTTACATCTTACAAAAACATCTCTACATTC